CATGGCGGTTGTTGAGAGTAGTGGTGGTGGTGATTCAGGAGTCGTCGTGATCCAGCCTACTTCTCCGACTAGTCAAGATTCAGGCGTTTCTTCCGATGATCAGAACCATAACTCCTCCTCTTCCTCCTCGACAAGGATCGAGCTCACCGGTGGTGGTCCGATTCTCCGACACGATCAAGGTGACATCTATAGCAAGATCGGGTCACACGTGGCGAGATCCGATGGTGTTGATGGTGGTGAGAGCTTCAAGCGTGATATGAGAGAGCTTCAAGAGCTTTTCTCTAAGCTTAATCCTATGGCTGAAGAGTTTGTTCCTCCTTCGCTTACTAAACAAGGACTTAACAACGGTGGTTTCTTCACCTCTGCTGGTTCTTTATTCCGTAACAATGGCTTCGCTGCTCCCGGAAATGGCTACGCTAATGAAAACGGCGGTTTTCGACGGGTAAGAGACAAAAAATTTGTCATCTTTGTGTGTATTGAGATTCAATTTCATCGAATTCTCTTGGAGTTTTGTTGTTTTGATGGTTTTTTTTCACTCTTGAGAAGGGTTTTGTGTTCAATTTCGCTGTCGATCTTCGGAATTATATTGAATTTGCTTGCTGAAACTACCTTGTATCCATAGCATTTCGTATTGATTGATTGTGTGTGATGTAGAAGAAGAGCTTTGGTCAAGGGAAGCGAAGGATGAACGCTCGGACAAGCATGGCTCAGCGCGAAGATGTGATCCGGAGAACCGTTTATGTGTCTGATCTTGATCAACAGGTCGAAATCTTACACCTTTTTTTTTTTATCTATGATTGGTCTCAGACTTGAAAAGTCTTGACTTTTTTCTTTGTGTGTGTGTGTGTTTAGGTCACTGAAGAGCAGCTTGCTGGTTTATTTGTGAGCTGTGGACAGGTTTGAGAATGTCTTCTTGAAGCTTTTAAATCTAAAGACTCCATCTTTGTGTTTGCGTTTATGTGTTTTACTGTGTGTTGGTTTACCAGGTTGTTGACTGCCGCATTTGTGGTGACCCCAACTCAATACTTCGGTTTGCATTCATCGAGTTCACTGATGAAGGTATTCATTACGATTACTTGTTGGGTTTGGAGTATTAGTACACTTGAGTGGTCTTGTGGTTTTAACTGTTGGCAATTTTTGTTTTTATCTTCTGTAGAGGGTGCGATGACTGCTCTGAATTTATCGGGGACTATGTTGGGATTCTATCCTGTGAAGGTTCTACCTTCCAAAACAGCTATTGCACCGGTTAATCCGACTTTCTTGCCCAGGGTGAGATTTACTTGCAGCTATGCAAAAAGTATCCAATGTTCTGAGACTTGGAAAATGAATTGTTTCTGTTTCTTTTGTTTTTGTTGTTGCAGACTGAAGATGAGCGCGAGATGTGTGCAAGAACTATCTACTGCACTAATATTGACAAGAAGGTGACTGACTTCCTCAAATTGTTTCTCTTCAGTCACTGATGAAATATCGCCCTCTCACACATGTGCTTTTTGCTACAGGTGACTCAATCCGACGTTAAGATCTTTTTCGAATCATTCTGTGGAGAGGTGAACAAATCTTGTACTTCTTTCAGCATTGTTTTTTGTTTGTTTGTCCAAACATTGAACTAATTCGATGTTAATAACAACAGGTTTACCGTCTGAGGCTGCTTGGAGATTATCAACACTCAACTCGTATTGCTTTTGTGGAGTTCGTAATGGTAAGCAGATGCTTCCTTGATTGAAATCTTTCTTCTTTTTCCAAGCCTTATAAATACTCCTTTATTGAGTCTGCTTGGCTCATAAAAAGGAGTCGTATGTCAACTTCTGAGTGATCGATGTGTTGTTTATTCACACAGGCAGAAAGCGCAATAGCGGCTCTCAACTGCAGTGGAGTTGTGCTGGGTTCTTTACCGATAAGGTTAGAGAAACAAAACCGATCTCTCAAACATTCGGCTACACAATTCTTTTCGTTTCGCTGAGCCTCTTGTTTTCGTATTCGCAGGGTGAGCCCTTCAAAGACACCAGTTCGTCCTAGGTCACCGAGGCATCCAATGCACTGATCTTAGCTATAAAGGTTTTCGCATA